CGGGAAGGCGAGGGGAGGGGGCGGAGGACGTTTGGGGGAAGGGGCGGAGTTGGGGCGTGGGCGGGGCTGGGGGCGGGGCCGGGGCCCCATGGAGTGTCCTCCTTTTGGAGGCACAAAATATGGTAACCCTAGGTGACCCATGTGGTTGGTTCCCAGGTCACAGTGCATGTGACTGATGAGGACACGACCCCAGAGGAGATGGATGTCCCTGAAGTATTATGGGAATCTCAGAGCACCCAGCTGGAGCCACCGCAGCCCCATCCCGCATGGGGATCCTTGGAGGAGGCGGTACTGAGGAAGTACGAGCTGCCAGGCGCCCCTGGAAAGGAGCCCAGAGTTGGAAGAGAAATGGGTAAAGAGCTTGTGAAGGAGCCTGGGGTGGGTCTCCCCGGGGGCACTGTGGGGACAATGGGGAAGGGAGTCCCTCGGGCTGAGTGTGTGTGGGAAAAACAGGGGAGTGACTAGCTCAGGCTGTGGGGGTCTCCCCAGCAGGATTGCTGCCTGGGGAATGTGGGAGGCTGTGTGGGGGGTTGGGATGGCCAGTGGGTGTCTCCGAGATGACAAAGTGGCCCAGGCAGTGGGGATGGGACTGTGGGAGCTGGGTGGCCCCGTAGCCAGCAGTAGTGAACTGCCCTTGTGGTGCTTAGTGGCATTACCCAGCAGGTGCCCTTCCCCACCCCCATCCATTCCCTGAGGTCTGGGGGGCGGGTCCCTCTCGGCTGGGGAGGGATGAAGCCTATTCAGACCATGACAGTCTCCACTGCAGAAGGGCCCTAGAATCCTCTGCAGAAAGGCCTGAGGCAGTAGATTCTTACGGGACATTATTGGGGTGCCCCCGGCCTGGGACTTGAGAGGAAATATTTCAGTTATGATTTTCCTAAAATATGTTTATAGTCAGAAACCCAACTCAAGCCAAAACTATAACAGGGTTTGGCCAAAACTATAACAAGGTTCAAAAAAGGATTAGATAAGTTTCCGGAGGATAGGTCCACCAATGACTATTAGCCAAGATGGTCAGGGATGCAACTCCATGCTCTGGGTATCCCTCAACCTCTGTTTGCCAGAAGCTGGGAGTGGACGACATGGGATGGATCATTCGATGATTTCCTGTTCTGTTCGTTCCCTCTGAAGCACCTGGCATTGGCCACTGTTGGAAGACAGGATACTGGGTTAGATGAACCATTGGTCTGACCCAGTATGGCCGTTCTTATGTAACCCCCCCAAGTGGTCCATTTTGACCCCGGGGGAAGATATCTCTGTTTTTCAGTCATCTCTAACGTGGACGTGGATATGGGTGGGGAGCACGATCGCTGCCTAAAAATAGCCTGGACAGCAGCTCTGTCTAGTGGGGCAGGGGCTCCAAAGAGATTGGTTAGTGCAATTTACAAGGAGATTGGTCTGCGGAAGAATGAATGAATTGGGGCCTGAACGGAGAGCAGGATTTATTAGTAGTAGTTTCACATTTTAAAACCCAACTCAGGGTGCTCTTCCAGTGCTCTGGGTGTGTATCCTACACCTTAAAAACACCAGTAGTAAATAGATCCATCTCCGCCCACCCCCTCCTCACAGCCTTAGTGAGCAGAGAGAAAGATGCTGGCATGCTAACACATCTGGGCTCTGAGGGACCAAGTGGAGGAGCGAGAGCCAACATTAGGATTCCTCCCAGAGAACCTCCTGCCAGCTACTTTCTCCCGTGGAGGATTCAACTCAAGCACCTCTGCTGATCTCAGCTGTGGCAGCGTAGCACTGGGAGAGGTGATCCTTCATGTAACCAGGAGCCAAGAAAAGGAGAGGGTCAGGGATAAGGAGTCTGTGGGTGGGAGAAGAACTAAAGAGATGGGACAGAGAGGGGGCAGAGGGAGTTTGGAGGGGAAGTGATGGGACTGGAGGAGAAAAGCTATTGTGGGCACTGGGGAAAGAGGAAGGAGACGGGGATGCAGGGCTTTCTGGTTGTGCCCCTCCATAGCCCCCTATTTCTGCACAGCTGACAGAGGGGTTCCTGCTGGGGGTCTCTCCAGTGGAGGGATGTGCAGTCACTCCCACTGTTGGACATACGAGAGACGAAATAATCTCTGGATTCTTTTCCATCCACCAGGTGCTGGAATCCTGAGCTGGGCTGAAGAGCAGCCTTGCAAAGAAGGGCCTGAAATGGTGCTGCCCCCCAGCGTATCACAGAGTGGCTCAGGAGAGAGCATTACCCATAGACCTGAGCAGGGAGGAGCCTGCAAGAGGCAGAAGAAGATCCCAGCAGGGAAGGAGCCAGGCACCGCAGAGGAACATGACAGCAGATTCAGGAAACTAACCCAGCTCTTTGCGCAGGGGAGTCCTCAGACCACAGGGGATCTTCACCATGAGCAACATCATAGATGTCGACACTGTGGGGAAAGCTTCAGGGAAAAGCAGGAGCTCATGGATCATGGCAAAGTCCATGAGCGAGAGAGATGCTATCCCTGCGCTGAATGTGGAAAGAGATTCAGCTGTCCAGCACATCTCAAAACCCACCAGAGAAGGCACACACGTGAGAAGCCCTACTCGTGTGGAGAGTGTGGCAAACTCTTTGGCTATCTCTACACGCTGACTACGCACCAGAGAACTCACACGGGGGAGGGCTTGTTCCCCTGTGACGAGTGCGGGAAAACCTTCACCAGCCCCTCGGACCTCAACAAGCACCAGCGCTCCCACACGGGCGAGCGGCCCTACCCCTGCGCCAAGTGCGGGAAGCGCTTCAATCGGCTCTCCAACCTGAAGATGCACCACAGGACTCACACGCAGGAGAGGCCCTATCCCTGTGTCGAGTGCGGGAGATGCTTTGGCCACCTCTCCACGCTCGTGAGGCACCGGAGAGCCCACACAGGGCAGAGACCCTTCCCCTGTGCTGAGTGTGGCAAGACCTTCACCACCAGGACAGGGCTGAGCAAGCACCAGAGAATCCACACAGGCGAGCGGCCCTACCCCTGTGGGGAGTGTGGAAAACGCTTCGGCTACCTCTGCGCTCTGACCACACACCAGCGGCTGCACACGGGGGAGAGACCCTTCTCCTGTGCTGAGTGTGGGAAAACCTTCACCAGCCCTGCAGACCTGACCAAGCACCAGCGCTCCCACATGGGTGAGCGGCCCTACCCCTGCGCCGAGTGCGGGAAGTGCTTCAGCCAGCTCTCCAACCTGACGATGCACCACAGGACTCACACACAGGAGAAGCCCTACCCCTGCACCGAGTGCGGGAAGAGCTTCAAGT